CAAAACAAATGAAGAACAAGAAAGAAGAAGAAGAAGATTATCAAGAAATGAACACGTCTATTAGAAGAAACGTCTGGTACACCTTGAGAATACACATAATGACCGTATAACTTCTGATACGTCACCCTACTCTGACAGACTCAGAAACTATTTATAGGGGTAGGCTAGCCGTGAATAAGGTTCATGGCCGAACACACATTCACAACCATAAACCTGTTCACGGCCGTGAGCACCAACACAACTGCAAACTATACAAAAATCAACAATACATGATCAATATCCTATTATGACCTATACATATGTTTGCCTAGCCCAAACCACTAAGTTATAACCTATCAATCTCCCCCTTGGTTTGTAGCTAGCATGAGCTCAATCCTTTTCAACCACCAACACATCCGATCTCCCTATAACACCCAACCACATAACTTTGTCAATGATCTCAGCAATCATGCCTGTGAACTCCTTGGAAATTGGTTCCAAAACCTCCTGATCACATATAATTTGATGAGTGGCTAAGGTATGAATGTCCTTCTCACCAAATTAGAGCAAGTCCTTCTTATCGACCAGACAAAAGACACCATCTTTGAACTTAATAACTGTACAGGCCGTAGCTTCATTGTATACCCAATATAGCATGTCACGCAAAGAACCATCACAGAAGTTCTTGATGATGGTAATCTTTGTCAATTGCTTTGTTGGAGACCACATAACGTTTCTGATAGTGATGTTGGTGATCAGATCATACACTCCTTTAGTTGTCTTCAAGAATGACTCAGCAGTCTTCATCCCATCAAATCCTCTGCTCACTTAGTTTTCCAAGAAGTTTTTGAAATCAGTTGCACGAGGATCATTGGAGGGGTTGTAGAAAGGAGCTGCAGATAGTTCAGAAAGATCCGTCTTGGTGAGAGAGGAAAAATCATTCTCATTCTTGTACTATTCCACAGTGTTGCTTTTTCATTTCACCAGCCAACAATTAATCTTGTCATGAAATCCCCACATTCGAAGTCCTGACCGATTACCATATTTGTTCTGGAACCTTTTCTTATTGTGCTCGGTAACGGTCAGTTGAGGCTGATCTCCACGAAGATTTGATCAGAATTCTTCACGAAAAGAAAAACTCCTCTTTTATGTGATGTGACCTTCCTCCCACCTTTCTTGATTGTAATAGTAGGCGAAGCTTGCTCAGGTTCTCTTTCAAAGTGGTCAACAACCATAGTGGTTCTGACTGGTGTGTTTTCATTAGGCTGATCAAGAGTTGATGTATTGATTGGGGCAGGTTTAGAAGTCTGGGGCAGCACTTGGATATTTAATTGTGGTCTTAAATTTATCACCAAATTCAGCAATAAGCCTATTCTTCAAATCAAAATATCCAGCTGGCAGAGCACCAAGATTAATTTGGAGGTCTGTTAAGACCACTATCGTACACGGTTTAACAAATAAAAAATATAAAATAATATGCTTTATTGCACTAACAGGTAGTACAAGTAAGCGGGGTCGGATCCTCAGGGACACGTCCTAACGTTTACACTTCTTTGCGTAAGGTATGGACTAATTCTTAATGAATGCAACAAACATTAAAAAGGGGGGGGGGGGGTTATTTCTAGAAATTAAACTAATAGAAATATAAAATGACAAGAAAATGACTAAATTTAAAATGATGAAAATTCAATTAAGAGAAAGCGATTCCAGTTTCGCGGTGACTCCCTTAATCGTGTAATTAACCTTCAACACAATATTTGACTATGCACTTGTTTAAACTGGTACTAAGGTTCATTAACAAGCTCTAATGACCTTTATTAAAAAAAATCATTTAATCAAAATAAGCTCTTTGAATTAAATCTAACTTTTACTAAATTAACCAAGCAAGCTCTTGATAAATAAAGAAAAGTTGCATCAGACACTGTGTAATTCCCAGTAGAGTTCAATACCTCTCATAAGCTCGGAGGCGTTAAAACTTGTTTGATCATTTCATATTAGAGTTCACCCTAAATGCAGATTTAATCTAATATATGTCACTTTTTACTAATTAATCTAGACAATTACGGATCTAAACAATTAGATGAATGGAATGATTCACAAACAATTTAAGTGGCCAATGGAAATTGAAATCAAAATCAAACACTCAATTTAACAAAGAACTGATCAAACTAAAAAGTAGTCATAGTCAAACATAGTTCCTAATGATTAATCATATGAAAAACGTTACGTCTTGCGAAACTAAAATCTTAGTTTTTCGCCTGACATGGCTAAAAATGGACTACAAACAGTGGAAATAGAATCTAAACGATAAATCTTACTAAACTATGAATTGGAATTGAATCGTCTCATTTAGATCTGTGTTCTTCACTTGAAAACCTCTGAAAATCGCCTCTGAATCGCCAGATAAGGTTACTGGAAGGGTATGGGGATGTATTTATATGTCTAGCTATCGAAATGTTGTACTTGCGATCACAGGTTTCACCAGAAACAAGTTACGAGACTTTTTAATGAAGTACATTGCTCTTTCAATGCAAATTGGCCAACCTGCGATCGCAATGTCACAACATTCCATCGCATGTAACACTTTTCCTCAGCTGATGAATTTTTTGGCTCGACAAAACATTGAAGGCAACCTCCGACCCAACCTGCGATCGTAAAGGCATACCTGTGATCACAGGTTACTTTATTTTGACTCTTTTGATCATCTTTCCTCCTTCCAAGCAGTTCTTGATCATTTCCTGGCATCCCTCCTTGGTCTAGACTCCAATTAAGCTCCAAAGCATCCACAACCGCATCCCGAATTTGCGCAATGATCCATGTGCTCCAAATGGCCCCGAAAATTCGTAACAAACGTGAGCAGTATGGGCATTCTTCAAAATAATCATGAAACACAAAATACATAAGAATAATTGGGAGTTAGTGAGCTTTTTATAATCAAATATGTAGGAAATGGTGCTAAAAGATGCATATAAAATGCATCTAACATACCTCCCCATGCTTAGACCTTACTTGCACTCAAGTAAGAAAATGATAACTTTGGAAACGGAATTGAGGCTACGGGAAATAAAGAAATAACCTAGACACACGTCAACCCGGAAACGACAACCTAAAAATGAAAACTATCAACGCTAAACATAAAGTATGCATGCATAAATAAAGAAAACGAACAATGAACAAAAACAATATGCAAATGATAAAAGAACAACTAAAATGAAACATGCTTTTTTTACCTTTTTTTTTTTCTTTCTTTTTTTTTTTTTTTTTACTTTTTATATTTTTTTTTACGATTAGACTTTACATCGATAATGGGCTCCAATCATTAACACCAAAGCAACCATCCTGCTATGTTTCATGTATCATAGACTCCCAAAGTAAGGAAGACCACAAAACAGTGTAACCCAATGATCCAACTCTAGTTTTATTTAAACTTTGTACCTTAATTAGCTTGATGAGCGAAAATAACATAGTCCGGATCTCATGTCCTTAAGACTAGATGGCCAAGAATTAGAATCGACGCATCCTTAAGAACCCGCATGACCAAATCAGGTTTCGCCGAAGTAGCAAGGGACAACCCCCGTAGGAGCCCAAACTCTATGCTTTCACTTTTTTCAAGAGCCACAAGTATCATTTCACACAGTTCTATATTCGCAAGATGTAACTTTGGAATGACTTCTAACTTGACTGAACTTTGATTTACACTTCGTTTTGAGCTTGATTTCTTCAATCTTTTTGTTTTTTGGAATTTCTTGAAGTTTCTTCAATTGAGCGCTTGAAATTTTTTGATTTGGGTACTAGATATAACATTGTAACCTTTCTTCATTTTGACTGTGTGGATCCAATACTTAAGCTCTCTGTTACCGCGAGGGTAACGCATGTCAACAAATAGGGCCATGTTTTGTGGGTTCAGAGTTGCCGTTAAAGATTCTTTTCAAATATTAATAAGCAAATCATCTTAGAGCTGTTATTATCGCCCAAAAAACGTTTCACTATACCATTTTTTATTATCTAAGGCCGGGGTCTTGAAATACGATGTCTTGGGTCCCCTGGTTATGACAAGTGATTCTACACTTCCAACAACAATCAAGTCGCTTCAGATTTTTTCATTTTCAACTCTCATTATCCCACTTCATGGAGCTATCATATGTAAAGTTTGTCATCATCTTTTATTTTTTTTCAATGCAGAAGGCAACAAAACGAAAATATTTAAAAAAAAATATGAAGAAATAAAATGACAAATAAAAGAAACATAAATGAATAATTAAAAGAAACATAATTGAAAAATCTTTTTGGATTTTTAAGTTTTCTATTTTTTTTTGGATTTTTTTAAAAATTTTAATTTTTTTTTTTGGATTTTAAAAATAACAATGACAAAATAAAAACTTTTTACAAAAAGATAGGAAATCCCCTCCCCAAGCTTAAAAGTAAGCATTGCCGTCAATGCTAAGGGAGGAGTAGAAGGTGACTACTCTGACAGGGGTGTATAGCGACGGAAGAAATCATCGCGGAAGTCAGTGAAATCGTCGCGTAGACCTAAGAGCTCATCACGATAGTCGGTAACCTGAGTGCTATAAAGCTGATAGTCGGGGCGAAGACCAGTCACAGTCTGCTGAAGGGACGCAATATCTTGATGGAGGTCAAGATAATGCTGGTAAGTGAAGAGAGAGTCGGGGTGAGGGTGAGATTGCTGGATGGGTGGGGGCTGATCCTGAATGTTAGTCCGCATAGGATGAGGTTGGCTAAAGGAAATAGGTGTAGCGTCCATGTAATCTGGGTGCTAAGTGGACGAAGATGGTCGATCCGATTGTGGCTGCCAGACCTGTTGTGCCCTATGTGGGCGAGGAGGTGGTGGGATGTTCGACTGAAGAACCCACATAATGTTGCTAATAGGGTTAGCAAGGGTGATGTCATCAGGGCGAGTAACCTTGAAATAAGTGGAGCGACCCTGCATCCAAACATACCCACCTGGGGTAGTACAAAGCATGTGCATAGCCCGAAGGTTCTATAGGGTCAGACGAAAAGAATCACTTGTAAAAGAATGCGTACCATGCAGGAGATTGCGGTGCAAAGGAGCGGGCAATGACAGAAATCAAACCACCACAGCGAATTGCACCACCAGTGTGAAGGGATATAACTCTATGGAACCTTTGGATGATAATATCACCAAAATGTGTACGGTATGACTTGGTGATCATGCACCACAAAAGAAAAAGCTTGGCTTTGCCGGCTTTTGTAGTCTCAAGCTCTACATAAATGATATTGCATATAATTTTCAATGCAATTTTGAGAACAGGGTGCACGGTACTAGTCTATACGAATGAGGTTGAATCATAAGAGGGCAAACCAGTGATGGAGTATCGAAACTCGTGTACGTCAAAAGTGGGGGTGGGATGGAATAAACTGGTGATGGGGGTATGGAAGATAGTACATAACTGGTCCACGTGGATAGTATGAGGGGTGCTAGAAATGTGAAAAGCTAGGTTTCCCTCATGATTTATCTCACTAAGTGTGGATAAAAAATCTCGGGTCAGTAGGTGACAAGTGGCAAAATCCATAGATAATAGGTGCTCCCACTCAATATTAGCAAAAAGAGCATGAACACCATCATAAATATGGACTTCCCGCATTAGTGATCGGCTAGGGGCCCAGGCTTGTTCCATAATCTCGCGGTCAAGAAGCCGCTGGTAACAGTCAACTGTGGCCTGTGAGCCTAAATCTACCGTGATATTGTCCGCCTGGACAGTGTATGACGGCTCTGGGGCGTCGCCCTGTCTGCGTGGACGAGATGGTCTAGGGGACATTTTTTTGTTTTTTTTTCAGGTCAAAAGCAGGACAAGGAAGACACAATTTCAAGGTAAAACAAAATAATAGTATTAGTAAATAAAAAATAAGTATTCCTAAGTACTCCCAAATGACCGCACAAATATATAACAAAAACAAAAATTCAGTTTCAGAACGAAAATACTTTACTAGGCGCTAAGCAGCAGTATATTTTTCGTGCCGATTTTTTTTTATTTTTTTTATTTTTGAAATTCCGTTCGGATGAATCTCTTATGAATTGCATCGTAAGCAAACGTTTCTACTTGTCATGGCCTGCAGATCACTAACGGAGCGTAGATTTGAAAAAGAAACTCACAAAAATTCAAATTTCAAAATGAACAAAATGAGATTTTTGGAGAGTTTCAACCGTGAAAACATAATTTCGTTACCGTAAACATGTTGCAGGAGTAAAATAGAAGTGATGGATACCTTATTTGCTTGATTTGGAAGAAAAATGAGCGATTTGGGTGTTTGTTGGTGAAAGAAATCCAAATGTAATGGATTTCAGAGATAATTTTTGGAGTGTGGTGGTTACAAAAGAGGCTTGCGATCGGTATTTGTAGGGAAAACACAAACTGCGACCACAAGGGGGAACGTGCGATCGCAGGTTTTACAATTTTTACCATTGGGCACATTTTTCGAGGCAAGTAATGGTAACATTAAAAAATATTGATACATGTTATCGCAGGTAGGGATCCTTCGATCGTAGGTTTTGAAAAAATGGCTTAAATCATTTTTTTAACGTTCAAATGTGATCCAAGAACAGAAACGAAATACATGTGATCGCAAGGGGGGAAGCTGCAATCGCAGGTTTGCTATTTTCGTTAAAACACTTCCAAAAAAATCTCGATGACTACCTGCGACCCCAAAATGTATTACCTGCGATCGCAAAGACTAGGCATGTGGTCGCATGGTCCACCAAAACAGTATTTTTCAAATTTTTTCAAATTATCTCTGTTCCTTCTTGTTTTAAAAACACGATTCAATTAAAAAGAGACGACCTAAATAGCTAAAACCACACAAAAATTAAAAATATGTTGCAAAAAATGAAACCAAAACAAATGCCTGGGTTGCCTCCCGACAAGCTGTCTGTTTTTATTGTCGTTGGCTCGACATTGTTACTTGGTTTCCTCAATTGCGGTAAGTCGGGACCGCGACTACATCCACTTATTCATTTGTTACTTAAAACACTTCGTAAAATGATTTGAGACGGTGACCGTTTACCTTAAAAATCTTTCCTGTTTGTTTGCTCTTAATTTTTATGGCACCATGATCAAGCACGTTAGTAACAACAAAAGGTCCCACCCAACCAGACCTCAATTTACCGAAAATAGGTTTCAAACGAGAGTGATATAAGAATAGCTTTTGACCGGTAGTGAATACCTTTCGCGAGATCATCTTGTCATGAAACACTTTTGTCTTCTCCTTATAAATTGCTTCGTTCTCGTAAACATCATTCCTAATTTCTTCTAACTCTTGGATATCCAATCTTCTTTTCTTACTAGCTTCATCCATGCTAACATTCAACTTTTTGACAGCTCAATATGCTCGATGCCCTAATTCAACCGGTAATCGAAAAGGTTTGCCAAAAAAAATTCTATATGTTGACATACCAATAGAAGTTTTTTATGCTGTATGATACGCCCATAATGCATCATCCAATCAAATATGCCAATCGAATATGCCAATCTTTCTTAACTAGATTGATGTTTTTTTCTATAATACCCTTGATCTGTCTGTTTGAAGCTTCAGCCTGCCTATTAGTTTGCGGGTGATATGCCGTGGATACCTGAAGTGTGACGCCATACTTCTTGAGTACTGCTTCGAGGGTGCGGTTGCAAAAATGCGTACCCCGATCACTAATAATGGCTTTAGGTGTCCTAAACCTCGCAAATATATTTGTCTTGACAAAATTGACTACAACCTTAGCGTCGTCTGTTCGTGTAGCTTTTTCCTCAACCCATTTGGACACATAATCCACATTAATTAATATGTAAACAAACCCAAAAGAAGGTGGAAATAGACCCATGAAATCTATACCCCAAACATTAAAAATTTCACATACCAAGATCGTAGTAAGTGGCATTTGATTACAAGATGTCAAAGACCCAGTCATTTGGCCCCTTTCACAGGTTTTGCAAAATAGAAAAGAGTCACGAAAAATATGAGGCCAATAAAGACCGTTGTCCAAGACCTTGCGTGCGGTTCGTTGTGGACCATAATGCCCTCCACAAGCTTTTGAATGGCAGAAATCCAGGATTGACTTAACTTCATCTTGAGGTACACATCTTCTAATCACCTGATCAACATAGTATTTCCATAGATATGACTCATCCTAAACATATCTTTTCGACTCCTTCTTTATTTTATATTTCTTGGAGTTCTCTAGAGACCAACTAGTTCACAATATCCGCAAACCAACGAGGGTTCTGAACAACGAATAGATGCTCGTTAGGAAATGTATCGCGGATCGTTGTCAGGTCTTTAGGTGGGGTGAGTCAGCTCAAATGATCATCTACCAAATTTTCTCTCCCACTTTTGTCCCTAATCTCTATATCAAACTCTTGTAGTAGCAAAATCCATCTAATCAACCTTGGCTTTGAGTCTTTTTTGGCAAGAAGGTACTGGATAGTTACGTGATCAGAAAAGATTATAACTTTTGTGCCCAAAAAAATATTGTTTGAGTTTTTCCAATGCAAAAACTATTGACAACAACTCTTTTTATGTGGTGGAGTAATTTGCTTGGGCATTATCCAAGGTTTTTGATGCATAATATATAATGTGGGGAACCAAGTATTTTTCTTTGTCCTAGAACAGCTCCAACAACACTGTTACTAGAATCACGCATTAAATCAAATGCTAAACTCCAATGTGGGGGATGAATGATGGGGGCAGAAGTAAGAAGATTTTTCAGCACATCAAAAGCCTTCTTGCAGTCTTCATTGAAGTCAAATTCAACATCTTTTTGCAACAGCTGGTACATGGGAACTGATATTTTTGAAAAATCTTTTATAAACCTCCAATAAAATCCCGCATGACTAAGAAAGGAACGAACTTCCCGAACATTCTTCGGGTAGGGTAAGCTCTTTATAACATCTATTTTTGCTTTATCGCCTTCTAAACCTCTTTTTGAGATAATATGTCCAAGAATCAGACCTTGGTCAACCATAAAGTGACATTTTTCAAAATTTAAGACCAGGTTTGTTTCTATACATCTTTGTAAAATGTTTGTAAGGTTTTTCAAACAAATATCAATGGAGTCTTCATAGACAGTAAAAATCATCCATGAGGACTTGTATGATATTTTCAACATACTCAGAAAAGATACTAACCATACACCTTTGGAAGGTAGTGGGTGCGTCATAGAGTCCAAAGGGCATACGCCTATACGCGAACGTCCCGAAAGGTAGGTGAAACTCGTTTTCTCCTGGTCTTCTGGAGCAATTGGAATCAGATGGAAACCTAAAAATCCACCCAAGTAGCAGTAGTGGGATTTTCCCGCAAGCCTCTCTAGCATCTGATCTATGAATGGGAGAGGAAAATAATCTTTTCGGGTGGCTGCGTTTAATTTTCTGTAGTCAATACACACACGCCATTCACTCAAAACCCGAGTTGGAACCATCTCTCCTTCTTTGTTTTCTACGACTGTCACAATAACCTTCTTGGGAACAACTTGAACTGGGCTGATCCACTTACTGTCAGAAATTTGGTATATCATCCCAACATCTAGTAACTTCATAACTTCTTTCTTAACCACCTCCATCATTGGTGGGTTTAATCTGCATTGGGCTTCTTGCGATGGCTTATAATCGTCTTCCATCAAAATTTTGTGCATGCAAAGAGATGGGCTGAGTCCTTTGATGTCGCCAATAGTCCACCTAATTGCAGTTTTGTACTGCTTCAAAATTTTGATCAGCTTGAACTCTTCTTTTTCTGACAGCTTCTTGAATATGATAACTGGTAGTGTTTCTTTTTCTCCAAGATATGCATATTTCAGGTGTTCTGGCAGTGTCTTCAGCTCCAAGATGTGGGCTTGCACTACATAATGAAAAACTTTGGAGTTAGAAATTGGTAATTTAAGAGTTTGGGTACCATACCTCAACTTCCTCTACTGATCCATATGAGCTACCATCTCTTGAACTTCTCTATCAACCACATAATTTTCTGATATAACCTGAGCTGCATTAATTCACAAATTTCTGTGGAGCACTAATGCTAGTGACTCACGTTTAGCAGAAAATATTCTGCAGTTTGTGGTTCAATAACATCAATAAAATTGAGGGCTGAAACATCATTAGGATAACGCATGACATCATAAATTTTGAAGTTCATAACTTCACCATCAAATTCCATTGAAAGGCTACCATCATAAACATCTATTTTGGTTATGACAGTTTTTAAAAATGGCCTCCCCAAAAGAATGGAACCTGATTTGGTGAGTCTCCATCTCCCATATCCAAAACATAGAAATCAGTTGGGAATATGAGTTCATTCACTTGAACCAAAACGTCTTCTAGCACACCTTTTGGGTGCACCAGAGAACGATCAGCTAACTGAATGATGACTCTTGTTCTTTTTAAAGGCCCTACCCCGGTAGTTTTAAAAAGTGAATATGGTAAAACATTTATTGGAGCTCCTAAGTCCAACAGTGTATACTCTTGGATCCTTACACTTTGGGGGTAGACTTTTTCTTAAAATAACTGAAACAGTCTTGCTTACTTTAACTGTTTCATTTCCTTTTAATTTTCTTTTTGAAGAACATAAATCTTTTAAAAATTTAGCAAATCGGGGTAGTTGTTTAATTGCATCAAGAAGGGGAATAGTTACCTCAACCTTTCTGAAGAAATCCATAAACTATTTATCTTCCTTTTCTTTTTTCATGTTTTTCAGTCTTGAGGGAAAAGGAGGAGGGGTAATTTTCCCTTCACCTTCAGTAGGTCCATCTTTTTTCTGCATCTCTTCAGTCGCATCAGATTCTTGC